GGGGTGCGGTACGTTGCTGTCTGGTAGAGAGTGCGGTACGTTGGTTGCTGTCTGGTAGAGGAGTCCTGCGAGCCAATGCGCTCTCATCCATCTTCGGCCCCGAGGGCCTCAGACTCCGCGAGTGTCGAAAGGATGCCCACGCAACTTCGCCTCGCCCACGAAACCGAAAACGACTTCCCGGTGGTAGGGGCCCCCCCCGTTCCACTTCGATCTCAGCCCCTCACCTCCGATACATATGCATACACACATACATACATACATACATACATACATACGTACGTACGTACGTACGTACGCATACGCACGTACACATACATACATACACACATACATACATACATACATACATACATACACACATACATACATACATACACACATACATACGCACTCGCACGAAGGGAGCGTCCGGCGCCGGCCGGCGGGCTGGCCGGCCCGTGAGGGGAGGCAACAAGAAAGGGCGGCGTCGGCTCGGTCGGCCGGCAGCAGGAGCAACAACTCCTGCGCGGGCGCGCGGGCGGGGCGCCGCGTCCCGACACCGCCCAAAAAAAATCCCCATTCATCCTCCTCATCCTCATACTCTCCTTTCTCCCGGAACCCCTCCCACTCCCCTCCTCTTACTTACGAGCCCCAGGTGGTGGCAGCTCTCCCTCCCAAGGAGTCATCTTGCTTGAGGCCATCTTGGGCCAGCTTGGGCTATCTCAGGGCCATCTTGGGGCTGCCCCGCCCACCGCCCGCCCGCCGCCTACCCACCACCACCACCCACCACCCACCCACCACCCACCTACCCACCACCCACCTACCACCCACCTACCACCCACGACCCACCCACCACCCACTCACCACCCACCCACCACCCACCCACCCACCACCCACCCACCACCACCCACCCACCACCCACCACCACGCACCACCCACCCACCACCCACCCACCACCCACCACCCACCCACCACCCACCCACCACCCACCCACCCACCACCCACCACCCACCACCACACACCACCCACCCACCCGCCCCCTTCACCCACCACCCAGAAACATCCAGAAACCACCGTTGCTTTATCATTATTATTATTATTCATCATCATCATCATGTCCGTAGCTGTGTTGGCTCAAGTAGCTTAAACACAGCACCATTTCAGCCATCATGGCGCAGTTGTTGCGCCCATGGTTGCTGGAGTCGCCGCCGCGCCGCCCTGCTGTGCCTCGGCGCCCGTGGTTGCTGGAGTCACCGACTCCCTTCAGCCCGTCCTTCAGCCCGTCGACTCCAGCGCAGAAGGCTCGTCGGCGGGGCCGAAGTCCACCTAGTAGGAGGAGGAGGCTCTTCGGCAGAGCTGCTGGAGAGGAGGAGGAGTTGGCCAATCCTGGAGGCCAACAACAGGGTGGCACGACGGCGGACGCTGCTGGCGCGGGCACGTGGCCTGCGGCGACGAGAGCACGGACAGCGGCTGGCGGCGACGACGGCCCGGCGGCCGTGGCTTGCGGCGACGCCCGCGGCATCATCGCGACCAGCTCGCTACCGCCATCCTCATCGTCGATGGTTGGCGGATGGACGGCGCGGCAGTGGCGCGCGACAACTACTACTGCTGGCGCTGGCAGCGGCGACAACAAGCCTGGAGACCTGCAGGCGACGGGCGCTGCTGCTGGTGGTGGTGGGCAGCGGGCGCTGGGGCTTGAGCGCCCCCCTGGAGGCCACCTGGCGGCGGCGGCGGACGCTGCTGCTGCTGGGGGCCCGCGGGCGGGCGCTGCTGCCGGCGGGGCGGCGGCGGACGCAGCTGGAAGCCTGCGGGCCGCGGACGGTGCTGGAGCGGCGGTGGGCGCTGGAGGCTCGCGGGCGGCGAGCCCTGTTGCTGGGGAGGCGGTCGCTGGACCTCCTGGAGGAGGAGCGGCGGCGGACGCTGGAGGCCGTCGTCGTCGTCGTCGTCGCCCGGCCATCGCCGTCGTCGTCGTCGTCGTCGTCGACGTCGTCGTCGTCGTCGTTGTTATCGTCGTCGTCGTCGCCGTCGCCATCGTCGTCGCCGTCGTCGTCGCCGTCGTCGTCGCGAGGCTCGCGGGCGGCGGGCGCTGCTGGGGTGGCGGGCGCTGGAGGAACACAGCCGGCGGCGGCGGCCTCGCGGCCAGCTGCAGCCCCGCCGCAGGCGGCGGCCGTGCGATCGCCAGCAGGTGGCCCGCTGTTGCCGAATGATCGTGGCGCCCGTCCTACGACGACAGAGAGGAGGATCAGGTGGGCGCCGCCGCCGCCCCCAGAGGAGCGGCTGCGGATCCTCTGGGAGACGGCGCGCGATGACGCGGCGCTCGTCGCCCGGCAAGCCGCGGCGAGATACCCCGATCACATCGAGGTGCGGACCCCGCTGCTGGACATCACAGAGCACGCGCTTTTGGGCCGCATCGTTGCACACGTGCGCTGTGATTCATCTGGAGAAGATGCATCCGCGTACGTGGGGTCCACCAGCGACCCCGCGTGGAGGTGGCAGGGCGGCCTGTGCTATCGATGTGAAAGAAACGCACGCGGGCCCCGCCCTCACCCCACCCACATGGTGGGCCACAATCTCAAGTGGCGAAAAATGTTTGTGGTTGGGGCCTTTTCGGACCGACAAACGGCGGCCGCTGAAGAGCGCCTGCTGGAAGCTCTTCGCGGTGTAGATCGCCTGGCGAATATCGCCAGCGATGCGCGCGGTCTCGCCATAAGACCCGTTCCAGCATACTCTTTCATATATGTGTGCGTCGACTGAGCAACATCTTCATCATATAATCAAATCACCATCATCAGCATCCTCCTCCTCATCATCACCATGCGCGTTCAAAAACAACAACAATCAAACACATAACGCAACAACAACACTGAATTACGATATTGCGAATATCTCGTTGTTGTGAGTGAGGACGTCTTAAGCGAAACGCTCGTTCTCAGGAGTCCGCCAAACAAAAAGAAAATAACGTCCATTGGGGAGTCTGGGTACTTCGCGCGGCATACACCAGCGACAACAAAAACGCATAACACACGCACAAAAAATGGACACTGCAAACACCCGCAACAAAGATCACACGGTAGACATCAGCACCAGCAAGTATCTCAAGGAAATGGCCCAACGACAATCACGCAGACGCACCGACAACAATAATCACGCAACACACAAAAATCACAAACACACGCATCACAAACAAACAACACCCATCATATAGGCGACAGCATCAGCAGTCTGGCGTCATGGCTCGAATTACAGACTGCGGGTAAATCGCCAGCCAGCAACGACCAACATCATTGCAGTGCCGGCCAGCAAGCCTCATGACCGTCGAGTCGGAACTCATGGCTAGAGCGGCTGATGATGATGCCGCTGGCGACGCCGCCATGAAGATGGAGGAGGAGGAGGATGATGAGCCGTCGGCCGTAGGGAAGCAGAAACGATGCGGGGCCGGAGCGAAGCCGTCGGCGAAGAGAGCGAAGTCGTCTTCTGAGGCAGGAGGGAAAGGCAAGGGAAAGGCAAAGTCAAAAGCAAAGGCAAAGGCGCAAGCCCACCAGTCTCCTCAGCAAGGGCAACTATCACTGCACGCCCAGTCTCCCAACGCTGTTGCCTACGACACGCTTCGCACGATGATCAAGGAGCTGGTCGAGAATGTAGAATGCTTCAATCAGATCCACGAGGAAAAGGCCCTCCCCATCGGCCAGGGCGGTCGCGAGGAGCCGTACTCCGATGCTCGTTTCAGGGCTGCGTTCACCAACCAGGATGACAATCAGGACATCTCCAAGCTCGAGTACAAGTGCGGGTGCAACTTGCTATGGATGCGCATGGAAGAGGAGGCTGGCCCAGGCCACGACGTCCCGCTCAGCGATAAGGGGATCACAAAGCTACAGGACCACTTCTTCAGCTCCCCGACGCCTTGCAAGCAGGATTTCGTCATTGCTTTGAAGAACGGCGCCGAACTCCCATCTGCCACGAAAGGCCGGCTCATGCGGGCGTCGCCGCCTGAGCCCCTCCACGCGTGCATTCGGGCAGCCCATCGCGATTGGAAGGCTGGCAAGGGCGATGAAGTGATGGAGGAGTGGCGGAAAGTTTTTCTCACTGCGACCTTCGTCTTCAGGGTGATTGAGAACACTGACGACGCTCACTTCGTCAATCTCCAGTGCCGCCAGGACACCCACGCAGCTTACATGGGCATGAGCTACACGCTGGTGCAGAAGATCTACGACATCGTCTCGTTCCGCAGCCGCAAGGGTGGAGGGATGACGCCGGCCCAGGTTGCCGACGCCTACAAGGCGTCGAAGGTGACCTTCAGCGGCGACTCAGAGGATACAACATCGGATCAACAATGGTTGCTTTAGCAAGTACGCTCGAGCTTTATGTTTGGATTTAGGTTTGATTCCCTACCTAGTAGGCTCTGCCTAGAGGGTTCTTACTCGCTGGGCTTAAGTGGGTCAGGCAGTTGGCTTTGCCCCGGGCGGCCCCCCCGGCCCCCGCCCCGCGGCCCCCCCAGTTGCGCCCTCTTACCTTAGCCCTTAGCTTTGCGTATCTCATCGTAGCTTAGCTTAGCTTAGCTTAGCTTCATCTTCTTAGCTTCGCGCAGCTGTAGCTTAGCTTAGCTTAGCTCAGCAGGTCATAGCATAGCCCAGCATAGCATAGCATAGCGCAGCACAGCAAAGCATAACCTCTCATAGCATCGCATAGCGCAGCATAACACAGCATATCATAGCGCCGCATAACATAGTATAGCATATCACAGCATAGCATAGCATAACATAGCGCAGCCAAGCGTAGCATAGCATAGCGCAGCATAGCATAGCATAGCATAGCGCAGCGCAGCATCCACTATTATTGCTGCTGCTCGAGGCTCCCACTCCTAGGTAGGGTCGCACTGGGATAATTTGACGTTTGGATTTAGGTTCGGTTGTTTGGATTTAAGTTTGATTTAGGCGTCTTTGCGTGTGGGGCGCCATTGTTGATCCGAGGAGAACCCTACCAGCAACGAGTTCGTCAAGAACGCTCTGAACGTGTACGACAGGATGCTCTCCGTCCCGAGGGTGAAGACATTGATTCTGGCTGCCCAGGAGTCGCAGCTGCCGAACCCCTTCAAGAAGATTGGCCAGTTCAACGCATTCTTGCACACGGCTGTCACCGCGGAGCGCATCGAGTGGGCCGTGGAACTACTCTTGGACCTCTACAACAGCGGGGGCATCAACATCGAGGACATGGGCACCCGCGCCCTCGAGGGCAAGTCAGCGGGGAGCAGTTCCGGCGGCAAGGGCTTGATCGACCTTCTCGTCTACAAGCAATGGCTCCTGAGCTACATGGTCGGCGAGTGGCTCGACGGGATTGCCCTCGACTCCAACGCCAAGGCCGCCATCCGGGACACCTGCAAGAGCATTGCGCACTTCCGCTCGAAGGCGGGGTACGCCTACAATCCGAACATGAAGAAGCCCTCTTTCGCGCGGCGAGCTGGGTGGAGCCAGGCCGCGGAGAAGACGTTCGAGCTGATCGAGGTGGCGGGGCTCAACGGCGATGTCTGTGCCTCTCGAATCCGCCCGGGCCCCCTCGGTTTCTTGGCGGGTGGTTCTGGGGGGTGCTGGCGCGCTTTTGAAGCCCTGCCCTTTTCTTCAAGGGCGCCATCTTCGGGTACGAGTTCGACAGGGGCATCAAGTCTGCCGCCCTCAAGCGGTGCGACCCCAAGTCGTGCATGGAGCAGGGCGACCTGGCCGAGGCGGCGAGCACAATCAACGAGATGCTCGGCACGGAGGAGCGCACCCGGAAGGCGGCAGAAGATCATCAGAAGGAGGTCAGCGACGATCCCGAGGACGAGGAACCATGCCTGACGTTGGAAGAGATGCCGGAGATCAAGAAGCTCGTCAAGAAGACCGAGGCTGATGAGGCCAAGGCCAAGCGCGTCTCCTACTTCCAGGCGAAGGCGTCCACGCTGGTTCACACGCACGTGGAGTTGGTCTCGGAAGTGGAGCCCGATGACGTCATCATCCAGCGCTTCAAGGACAGCGCCGCCTACAGGACCACCGGCTCCAAGGACAAGAGGAACTATCGCGGCTTCTTCTACAACCCGAACCACTGCGGGGAGTCCAGCTCGAAACCGCACGCGCGCCCTCCTTCGCTACGGGGAAACGGCGAACACCTGAGGAAGTTGTTGTCGCTGGCGTTGAGGGCCACCGATTTCCAGATGGGTGATCGGGACTTGTACTTCATCTTCGACGCCGGCCGCGAGGGTCAGCAGGGTCGAACGAATGCGGGCGGGCGGGGCTGGGCCGAGGAGGAGGAGAAAGAGGAGGAGGAGGAGGCGGAGAAGGAGGAGGAGAGAAGGAGGAGGAGGAGAAGAAGGAGGAGAACGAGAAAAAAAAAGACGAGGAGGAGGAGAAGGGGAGGAGGAGGGCCATCAGAGGGCGAGCCCCAGGTAACAAGACGACCTTGCTGGGCGGCTTCGTGGACTCGGAGGGTGCGCAGATGGTAAAGCAAATTCGCCAAGTGTATCTGCATTTCGACATGGAGTCCCTCGATGCTCGTCTGGACGTCCGCCGGGGGCATTCGACAGTGAACCAGGTAGAGAAAGTTTATGTCGTGTCGAAGCACGCGTTGGATTTGTCGGACCACAAGAGGCTGCACTACCCTGGGGGCAACCGAGGGAATCTAGTCGGCCCGATCGTCGCCCCCTCGTGGACCAGCGATCACGTCTGGCAGGAGCAGGTCAAGATCAAGCGTGAGATTTTTCACGAAGCTTTGCTTGATCTTCCGCATTTATCCCCCCACTGGAGTTGTTACCGTGGAGGGTGGGGGCCACCTATAGCTCGAGCCAAAATTGCGACGGAGGATGGGTCGGAGGTGAGGGGGTGAGTTCGAAGTGGAACGGCGAGCCCCCCTCCTACTGCCGGGAAATCGATTGCGGTTTCGTTGTCGTGCGCGCCGTGCGCGCGGGCGAGGCGAAGAAGAAGCTGCGTGGGCGGGCGAGAAATAAATCTCCTGTAGCTGAGGCGCGGCCGGGCCGAAAGTCTCCCTTCCGGCAACCGGTGCCCCGCGGTGTCGCGCCGGTGTCCCGCTCGGGGGCCGGTGGCGCGCGGTGTCCCGCTGGTGTCCCGCTGGTGCCCCGTCCGTTTCCCGATGATGATGATGATGATGATGATGATGATGATGATGGTGATGGTGATGATGATGATTTTGACGATGACGATGATGATGGTGATGATGATGATGATGGTGATGATGGTGGTGATGATGATGGTGTCCAGATCATGATGATAATGCTAATGATGATGATGTTGGCGATATTGATGATGGCGACTGGGATCGCGGTGATGATGATGGCGCCCCCATAATGAGTATGATGATGTTGAGGATGATGATGTTGCTGATGGTGATGATGGTGTCCCGATGATGATGATGCTGATGATCCTGATGATGTCGATGGAGATCATATGATGATGGTGATGAGGATGATGGTGTCCTGATGATGGTGATGATGATGAGGGTGTGGTTGATGATGCTGCTGATGATGATTGTGATAAGAATGATGGTGTCGCGATGATGATGATGATGATACTAATGGTGATGATGACGACGATGGTGTCCCTGTGATGATGATGAGGGGATGATGATGATTTTGATGATGGTGGCCCAATGATGATGATGTTGATGATGGTGATGGTGTCCCGATGATGTGGTTGATGATAATGTTGTTGATGATGATGGTGACGATGATGATGATAATGTTCCGATGGTGATGATGTTGATGATGATGGTGTTGCTAATGATGCGGATTGTGATGATGATGTCCCGATGATGATGATGATGCTGATGATTCTGTTCATTCATATACATGATCATGATGGTGAAGTGATGATGATGATGGTTTCCTGATGATGCTGATGATGATGTTGATGACGTTGATAACGATGATACTGATGATGATGACGACGTTGATTGTGATATCGATTGTGATATCGATAAACCGAATATGAAATCGTCTGTGAGATCCACGTGAGATCGTCTGTGATTTCGATTGTCAGATCGATAGTCAGATCGATTGTGAGATCGATCGATTGAAATCGATAGAGTTATATCGATTGTGAGATCTACCGAGTGAGATCGATCGAACGAGACCGACAGTGAGATTGATAGTGAGATCAATAGTGAGAGCGATCGAGTGAGACGTTGGTCCCCCCCCCGAACCTCCTTATCACCCGAAGGAGGGTGGTCGCATAGGTATTACTATTGAAATGTATCTCCCATTGCTATGCTCGTCCATCCGCCTCCTCCTGGACGCGGTGTGCAGTTTTTTCTGTCGTCTTTGATATTTCCCCACCTAGGCTCTGCCTAGAAGGGTTCTTACCCTGTATGCTTAAAGGGCCGGGCAGTGGAAATCGCCCCGGGCGGTTCCCCCGGCACCCGCCCCGCGGTTCCCCCAGGGCCCCCCGCCTACCTAGCCTAGCCTAGCCTAGCCTAGCTTAGCTAAGCTTAGCTTCGCTAGACTTAGCTTAGCAGCATAGCTTAACCTCGAACTTTTATAGAGAATAAACCTCCAGGGGTAATAGAATAGTTGGGCGCCATGGAGCGATAATACAAGTTGCCGGCCAGGGGCCATCATATCATGATAATTATGTGAACAGAGGGGCCAAAGCCGAGGATATCTTGAGACATCCTTAGCTTTTGGTCCTCTCTGAAACACCTTCAAAAACAAAATTGGAAATTGCTCGAGCCCTTTTTTAAGGAGGCTGAAGGAACGCGCCGGCTTTCGATATTTCTATGATACAGAACTGAAGCTCGGAGGTGCGCGCGCGCCTCTTAGCTTCACCTCTATTTTATTCACCATTAATAAATCGAAATTTAATTACAAAAGCGAAGTTGGAAAATTATGGGGCGCCTTTAAAGAGGCCGAAGGAACGCGTCAGCTTTTAATATTTTTATAATACGGAACTGAAGCTCGGAGGCGCGCGCGCGCGCGCCTCTGAGCTCCGATTCTATATTATTCGCTACTAATAAACCAACATATAATTCCAAAAACGAAATCGAAAAATTCTGGTGCCCTTTAAGGAGGGCGAAGGAACTTGTCGGGTTTTTATATTTTTTATTATCAAGAACTGAAGCTAAGAAGCGCGCGTGCGCGGTGACCGGGTCACCCGCGCGCGCGCGCCTCCGAGCTTCAACTCTGTATTATAAAAGATACGAAAAGCCGCCGCGTTCCTTCAGCCTCCTGAAAGGGCTTCATAAATATTCAATCTCGTTTTTGGAATCTTGAATGTCGATTTAGTAATGGTGAATAACATAGAAGTGAAGCTCAGTGGGGCGCCGCCGCGCGCGCGGCTGCGCTCTCTGAGCTTCGCTTCTATATTTGAAAATTACAAAAACATTGAAATGGTTTCCTATAGAATTTTGAGCGCATTCCTGTAATTCTTACAGGTCCCCGAAGATTCCTATTATTGGTTCCTATAGAGATTCCCATTGGTTTCTATAGAGATGCCTCATCGTTTGCTTCGTTTTCCCAGGATAATCAACCACAGCGATAGAAGTTCAGAGGGGGCAGGGGGAGGAGAAGAAAGATAGAGAGATAAATGGAGAGATATAGAAGAGGAGTAGAGGAGGTAGAGGAAGAAGAGGAGGAGGAGGAGGAGAAAGGGCAAGAGGAGGAGAGGATAATGAGATACCAAACATCGAAACTTTACGACTTATTAGATTTGATTTGTAAACGGTGAATTGAAATTAGCATTTTCATCTGCTCGCGTAGGTAGCTCACGCGCCTCGTTTCCCCAAGCTAATCACCCCCAGCGGTAAACAAGTTCAGGGGGGCAGGGGGGGGGGGGGTCAGAAATAGTAGAAGAGAGATAGGGAGAGAGAGAAGAGGGGGAAGAAGAGGAATATGACGATCAGGAAGAATAGGACACGCAGAGGGGAAGGAAAAATCCAAAGTTCAAAACTTCTTATATTCAATTTGTAAACGCTTACTGGAAATCAGAAATTTCATCTGCTCGCGAGCTCATCCGCCTCGGTTTCCTTGGATAATACAGCGCAGTGATAAACAAGTTCAGGTGCCACGGTGAGGAGGAGAAAGAGAGAGAGAGAGAGACATCCTCGAGTATATGCTTGTTTCGATTGAGGCACCCTCGACAAGTTTTTCGCTTCGCTTGCGACATCCTCAAATAATTGCAGGTTCCGCTTGAGACATCCTTGAAACATTGATCGTTTCGTTTGAGGCCGCCTCCCAAAATTATTGGTTTCGCTTGGGACATCCTGGAAAAAAACGCGTTCGTTTCGCTTGGTGCTGTTATCTCAACATAAGAAGGAAGTAACCTCGATGGCGGACTTCCCCAGTGATAATAAAGTTCGGCCTCCACGCCCCCCCGCCTAGATTTGAAACCCTACTAGGCCGACGATAATCAACTCTTACATTTGACGGGGAGGGTGCTTGATTATCGTCGTCGTGGGGTTCGATTAGCCTAGCCTTGCTTGGCTTAGCTTTAGCCCTAGCTTAGCATAGTTTAGCTTACCTTAGCCTAGCTTAGCGCAGCATAGCGCAGCGCATCATTAGCACAGTATAGCATAGCGCAGCATCGCATAGCATATCATAGCATAACATAGCACAGCTCAGCATAACATATCGTAGCATAGCATAGCATCGCGCATCATAACATAGCATAGCATAACATAGCATTGCGTAGCATAGCACAGCACAGCATATCATAGCACAGCACATCACTTCATAGCATTGCATAGCATAGCGCAGCATAACATATCACAGCGCAGCATCTCATATCATATCATAACATGTCATAGCATAGCATAGCGACTCATAGGTTAGCTTACCTTAGTTTAGCTTTGCTTAGCTTAGCGCAGCAAAGCGCAGCGTGGTATATCCTAGCATAGCCAAGCATATCCTATCATGGCAAAGCATAACATAGCATATCATGCACATCACAAGCAAACCAACTGTGAACGTGTAAATGTAGACGTATATATAGGGTGTAGATGTGGATGTAGGTGTAGATGTAGATGTATATGTAGGTGTAGATGTAGGTGTAGGTGTAGATGTAGATGTGGATGTAGATGTGGATGTGATTATCGCTGTTGATGTTGGTGTAGATGTATGTGTAGATGTAGATGTTGCTTCCCTAGGTGTTCCACCTCCTAGGTAGGGTCGCACTGGGATAATTAGAACCCGTTTGGGAAAAAGAGAAACCGACTTGGTCCTCCTCCCCCTCCTTCTCCCTATCCT